ACCGACTTTTCACATCTGATCCTATAACTGAAAGAGCATCTTTCAGAATGGCATTTCTTCTGGTTCATAGCCAAAATGAAGGGAAAAAACCTCTCAGCTTAGCTTGGTAAAGCTTGTCTACCTAACACTGCAATTGGGAAACTTAGTTACTTACTACCACAGACTTGCTAGGACAAAACAGACACAAATTTACTGCCATTTGAATTTGTTAATGATCCCTACAGAAAACTAACCATGTTGTTTTCTTTAAGCTGATTCCTGAAACCACGCCTAGCTCTCTGAAGAGCAAAGCTGAGCATCAGATCTGTGCAGCAGACTTTCTGCTGACCTGCTGGGAGCTTAGCAAAGCATCTATCCCAGGGCTGCTGTTACTATGGGGTGTTTATTTGAGCTGGTGTGGGGGGAGATGTGTCCTGAGCAATGCAGCAGATACACACATTTACATCAGCATATTCACTACCCTTGGAAGACTGTTGTTGACTGTTGCAGGGTTTGATCCCCTTGAGCAGAAGCAACAGCTTATTGCAGCACATCCACTATCACAATTAGGACAAAACCCAGCTTGTTTCATACCTCAGAGCAAATTCTCTGCAAGAATCACTGGTGTTACTTATGTCAGGGGCTGGTGCACATGGTGCTGAATCTCCAATCCAAGCCTGTTCCTGCTGTAGGACTACAGCCCTCTGGTGGTACCAAATAATTTATTTTGTTAAAAGCTTTGTAACATTATCACTAAAATTCACCTTTGGACCCTGACTGATGGGGCTAAGAATATCTCTGGGGGAAAAGTCCAAAAAGCAGGGTACAAGTCAGCATCCAGCTGTGATGCACAACATGGATGCCACCCACCAGCTAAAAATTTCCAAGGCAAATAGAGAGACTGAATGCAAGCGTGCTTAGAAAATGGGAGAATATTTATCTCACAGGACTGGGAGAGACCTCAGAAATCATTGCTGGGGCACTAAGAGGCCAGTAAGGTTCCCCCCCCTTAATGTCCTGACAGTCATCAACTATTCTCCTTCCTAAAGGAGGATTAATCAAATATCCCTTAGTCCTGGGTGCTGTTTGCTTAACCTGCTCTTTAAAGTGCTTCAGTGACTGAGATTTTGCAATATTTTATTTCCTATGCTTCATTAGAGGAACAATTAGACTGTTTTTCTTGTATTCCGTTAATATCCTACATTGATCTGTTTAAACTCATTATATCTTGTCCTATTCACTGTGGTCATGGAAAAGAAGAAAAAAATCAAAACCCTATATCTGTGTGCTGGACTCTTCCATATTTGAATATATGTCCTTTGAGCCTTCCTTGAATCTACTCCATCTTTCTCATTGATCATTTTCACAAAGTTCTGCTTTGAATGCCTCACAGCAGCTCTTTTCAGCCACGTGATGTGACGTGGCTCTTGAGCATCAGTTTTCAAAATGAAGAATAACTTCCATTTCCATCCGATGAGATCTTGCCATGAACCGCTGATGACATATTTCATTAGCATACCCTGCTCTGAAGTTTTGTTCTGGACTACAGGAAGAGGAGACTTTTGGGCTATAGCACTAGGCTCTGAATAAAGCAAAATAACTTGAAAAGACAGCAAGGGTGAACTGAGTGCCTCAGCTAGCTGTACTGGTAGATGTGATCATTTTATATAGTTGTGCCAACAAGCTGTCATGTTATTACTGAGAAAACACTGAGCTTGGAGGATTAATGTGAAAACCCTGAGCAGACTGCCTGAGGGGATATATTTTGGCTCTTACCCTGTCTCAACCCACTGATGTAGACAGGGTTTTCCCAGTGAGGAAAGGAGCAGAGGTGGAAGTCCCCTGAGTAAGGAGAGTACAGGAGCCCAAGAACTGCCTCACAGCCATGGCCACCACAATCTGGCTGAATCACAGCTAGGGCTGGACTTGTTTGTACCAGAAAGATAATGTTAATTTGGATTGTGGTTTTTAATTTATTTTGTTTATTTTTATTTAGCCTGAGGAACTTGTGTTGGCTTAGCCAAGCAGTACGGGGAACAAGCAGATTGATGGCACTGCCAAAATATACTCATATTGTGCATAAAGGATATAGCCAAGTTAGTCTGCAAAGGAGTTTATAGAAATACAAGCAATTAAAGAAGAAACAAACCCTCTTATACCATGGATTTATTGAACTGTGCAGCACCAGGTAAACACACATTCTGGGGTGATGGTGATGTATGTGCATTTAAACAGCAAAGAAGCAGCCTTCTGATTCTGTTATTGGAAGAATAAGTCACATATATTCTGGGGACAAAAAGGGGAAGTTGCAAATTGTTTCTGTATGTTCCTTCTTGTTTATACTGAAGGCATTAAGATAAAAAGGTTACATTTTTTTTCCATAGAAGTGTTCTTGTGTACACAATAATTGATTTAAATTTAAAAAGCTTTCAAGCAGTTTGTCAGGCACTTCATTAATGTGTGTATAGATTCAGTGTTTGGTGTTTGAGCCCTCTCTAAATAGGAAAGAGTGGGCAGGATCCCTTTGTAGGAAATTCACCTTGGTGGTCCATTAGATGAGCCAAATAACTCAGTGAATGACAGGACCAGATTGATTTTTCTCTGTTTTTGATTTTCTCTTTTTTAAAAGAATAGCAGCTGCAATCTGTTCCAAATAGTTTTTTCTTTCAGGCTGTCTCATCCTGTTTTGCTTTATTTGTGTTCAGTTTGGGGCTCCTCACCACAAGAAGGACACTGAGGTGCTGGAGTGTGTCCAGAGAAAGGCAATGAAGATGGTGAAGGGTCTGGATCATGAGTCTGATGAGGAAAGCTGAGGAAGCTGGGGATGTTTATACTGGAGCAAAGGAGGCTCGGGGAAGACTTTATCACTCTCTACAACTCCCTGAGAAGAGGTTGTAGTAAGGTGGGTATTGGTCTCTTCTCCCAAGTAACAAGTGACAGGATGAGAGGAAATGGCTTTAAGTTCTGCCAAGGGAGGTTTAGATTGGATATTAGGAAAAAATTGTATGCTGAAAGGATTGTCAAGCATTGGAACAGGCTGCCCGAGGAAGTGGTGGTGTCACCATCCCTGGAACTGTTCAAAAACGTGCATATGTGACACTTGGGGACATGGTTTAGTGGTGAACATGGCAGTGCTGTGTTGATGGTTGACTTGATGATCCTGGAGGTCTTTACCAACCTTAAAAATTCTGAGATTCTATGATTTGAGTGGTCAGGAGCTGTCTCCTTAAGCCACCTCCATCTCAAAAAGTCACTAACACAGAGCCTGGTCCTGGTAAGGCTGTGTCTATAGCAAGTCAACAGAGGAAACTGCCAAAGTTGAGGTCTTGAAATCAGATATCCCACCTTAGAGACATGCATGTAATAGCAAAACATGCTATAGCAAACCCAGATTTTCCTAGTAGAAAGCATGGGCTAAATTTTAATAACAAAAATTGGGACTGCAAGTGTTCCCCTGCAGACAGACCACTCTGTTTAGGGACATGGTGGGTCACTGAGAGGCCTGTACAGAAATTTCCTGTAATTACCTAAGGAATTAAGGTGCGTGGTCAGCGTGGAGTCAGTGCTGCTTCCAGCCTCAGAGAGAAGGATGGAATAGCACTCACACAGGCTATTATTGTACTGAAAGGCTGTTTAAAGCCAAAAAACCTCTTGCCATGAAAATACACTGCCCACAATCCAGCAGAATCTACTTTCTGATCTCTTCTGGAAGACTAACTTTGTAAAAAGCTCAGCTACATTGTTGGGCTGGGCAGGCTGGTCCAGTCAAAGAGCTTCAAATGCTGATGTGTTTGTGCAACATGGAGATTAGAGGTTTCACATCTGATAAAGATCCCAAACATTTCTGAAAGCTCTACCCCTGTTTTGCCATTTATGTGGTTCTGAGGCAGTCTGTGGAGCTGCATAGTGTGTGCGCACTGCCTACTTTGATTTTCTGAAAGATCATTTGATGTTTCCCCATTGCACTTCCAGATAATCAGAAGCAGAATAAGAAAGATGAAGAAAACTTTTAATGGATTTTTTTTCCTTTTGATTTGGATTTAATAACACAGAACCCAAATTATAGACTTGTCTGAGCACCAGATTCTTTCTTCACCTCTGCACTTGCCATCAGTGAGGCCACTCTCTGTTGAGCTTCCAATATGTGTGACTTAGATAGTCATAAAACATATGTTCATTAAAAAAATGAAAGTGACTTGTATGAATTATTAACAGAGATCTCAACATTTGGACTGTCTTGATGTTGTGCTTTTTGGCTGGGCAAGTAGATGTGCTTCTGGAAGAACAGGATCAAGAAACAGGATTTTTCAAAAGGAAAGACTGGAGGAAAAAAAAGTACTAGAGGAGGTACATCCGTGATTTCCAGAAAAATTAAAACATCTCAGGGAATGTCAGCACACAGAACTCAATTATGATAGGAGTGAAGGAAGGAAGGATGGTGGGTCCTCATGGGATAATATGGTATGTCCACCAAGTCAGGAGAGGAGATGGCTTCTGTCTAGTCCCAAGGAAACTGGCCTCCTAATGGGGCCTTGTTAAGCCTGTTAAGTATTTAGTGCCACTGCTGCCTTGGTGCCTCTCGTGCCAGGTAGAATTAACCTGCAGAAAAGCCTGACATGAAGTGAGAACCAAATGACTAAATCTTGTCCTTGGAGCAGGAGTCATATTAACTTTTATACACCCATCCCATCATCCTAAATGATCACAAAACTGTCAAATAACAAAAAAATCAAGCTCTGCCATCCACTTGCACCATAATCCTGGCTCAGCAGAAGGCCTCTTCACACAGCCCTGGGGACACCACCATGGGACAAAACTCTCTCCCACAGCACAGCCATGAAAGGCTTTGAGCTCAGCCTCTGAAACTGCAAAGCGCTTGTTTTGTTGTCCATGGATAATGTTTTAATCCGCCGGGTGAAAGCTGGATGTTGCTCTCTTTTATTCTGGCCGTACACAATTGCAACGCTCAAAAAGAAAAGCCCCTCACCCTCCCATGCCCGCTGCTCCTCCGAACTGCTGACGCCTGGATGGGCAGCTCCAAGGCGGGGCCTTCGGGATTTATTTAGTTCACCGCTGCAGCCGATGCCTTTAGTGCCACAAACCGCCCTGGAGACAAGTCCTAATCATCTGGGGGGGTGATTATGTTCAGTTCTTCCTCCCCAAACCCCCCAGACACAATTCAGATCCAAACTGGAGAGACAGGCAGGCACACAAGAGGGGAACCCGGCACCGCGCAGCCCCTCCGAAGCCATGTACAGGAGCAGCTTCCTCCGCGAGGTGCGCAAGGAGAAGTACGAGCGGTCGGACGCCTACGATGAGCTGCGAGGCTCCCCCGAATTCGATAGTTTGGCCCAAGCCCGGGGCCTGGAGAATCTGCAGGAGCTCAACGAGCGCTTCGCCAGCTACATCAACCGGGCGCGTGTGCTGGAGCAGCGCAACACCATCCTGCGTAAGCAGCTGGAGACCTTCCAGCGCATGGATGAGCTGGTGGGCCTGGACGAAGCATTCGCCGGGCAGATCGAGTTCAACCGGCAGCGGATGCGGGAGCTGGCCTCAGACAGAGCCAAGCTGGAGCGGGAGGAGAAGGATGCCCAGCGCATGCTTGATGAGTATCGCAACAAGTAAGGCTTGGGATGGGTGGAAGGTGGGTGGTGTCGTTTCTGTGGCTAATCTTTGTGATAAGGATGGGTTTGGTGTCGCTGGGCTGCTGCTTGTGTACGTGTGATGCCTGTCCATGTGTATCAGGCTTGTAGACAGGGATGTTGTAAGGGTCAAATGCATGCAGGTACCCCCAAAGTACCAGGCAGTGGAAGGATAGAGGAGAATTTATTTCCAAAGTCGAGAACGCTTAAGATCTCAGCACAAATCTGCACTGGGCCTAAGAAAGAGACACCCACTTATTGTTCTCAGGGCTTTTATGATCCCTGACCCCCCTGCTGTGGAGCCTTCAGACATGTCTGCAAGAGCTTCTCTTTTCTCGTACCAGGGAGTCAGCTCCACTGGAATGCAGGAGGAGAAAACATCTACAACTATCTCTGGGAAAGATGCCTTTTTCCAGGCAGGAAATCTTCCTTAAATGAAAAGCCCTAATCTCCTCGCAGTAAAATCTTCCAGAAGGGTCTTTTACACTTACAGATGCCATGTAAGCCCATGGTGAAAAGTAAGGTGTCAAGGATCTCCAGTTTTGCATTTCATGGTCCGTCTGCTACTAGAGGGGCAATTGCCCTCTCCACAACAGCAGGTCTTCACCGTGACACACATTGGTTGCTATCGTTCATTAGTTTTAGGAGCATTTTGTTCTTAACTGTGAAGAGGAAATAACCCAGTTGAAAAACAGATGTCTCAAAGCAAGTGTTGTGTGTGAGCAGCACAGAGTTGCACAACCCCAAACACCTCCTGAAATGTGCAGAATCTGTCTGAGAAACTCTTATTTACAGGGGTTGTGAGGCACCTGGGCCTGGCTGTGCCAACCACTACAGATGTGAGATGAAAAGAATGTAGACACATTTCTTTTCTTGGTACATTGAAATTTGCCCTCCTCTTCTTCCTTGCATCCTTCATTGCCACATCATGCCACTAGAGCAATAGCTGTAAGAATAGGCTTCCCCTAATTCCACCTTTTTAACCTCAGTGGCACCATAAATCAAAGAGCAGGAGCATCAAGGACTGGGGCAGATGAATGACTTCGGACACCTCTAGCCCCTTCCTTTCAGCAACAGGCAGTTTTGGCCCAATACTTGATTAATTATGTGAGAGTTGGTGAGAAATGCTCATAAAAGGGCTACTCACAGGAGAGAAGGCTCTAATCCTCTTGTTACTTATTGGTCAATGTTTCTTTTTACCCCCAAAATGTCTATCTGGCTAATTCACCCTTGAAAATTTGGCACCCAGTTCAGCATGCTGCCATGTGAACTGGTCGTGGGGGCTGTGAGCTGCAGCACAGCTATAGAAATGCCAATCCCTGATCTCACATTCTCCCTTGACAGCAGAGAATAGCCCATCCATGTGCACTCAGCCTTATTGCTGCCAATGGTCAGATGTCCACCATGCCTTGACTCAGCGCCAGCGAGTAATAAGCACCTAATTAGGCAGCTTTGTATTCCAATATTTATGAGCAGTAAATTCAGCTATGAGCCAATGCTATAATTTAGCTGTCAACTCTGGTACTTGCTCATATGTTTTTATTATGTGGTGTCCTTGAGATTTTGACTAAACTTGGTACTTAAGTGTCTAACTGCATATTAGTTAAAAATATGTGCAAACTGTGCAGGATTGGTGATGTGACACAAAGATAATTTACTTTTATTAGAGCTGCTTTATGCAAGCTGTACATAGATGGGGAAGAATACAGGGCATTGAAAATCCAGGCTGGGAATCACACACAGAAGGGGCTGTGCTTTAAAAAGTAATATTTAGGACCTGCTACAGGGGTAGTTAATGACTTCCTAGAGAAAATGGAGAATGTTTTGTCCATCCCATATCCTGGAATATTTACTCAGCAGCTGTAAACAAAATAAAACTTCTAAACGTAAAAATGAAACTTTGACTACATCTAAGCCAAAAATTGCAAAGATGCATGAGGCCATTATAATGGAAGGGCAGTGGCTGCTTTTTAACCAAATGGCCTTCAGTTTATACCAAGAAGAGAATTTTGGGTTTATTTTTTTCCTCTTGGGAGCTGCTGAATTTGGCTGGAAGACAGACGTGAAAGTTTCTTCAGCATCTGACAAAAATTGATTGGGTTTTGAGTTTCAGGTGTTAAAACAAGGCCAGTGCTCTGCCATCCTGGTGGCTCCTATTTCAGCTACTGACAGTTATTAATAAAGCTCTCTAAACAAAATATGGGAGGAAAAATTCTCTGTGCCATATTAGGATCTACTGAAACCGGAAGCATTCCTGTGCTGAAGACCTACCCTCTTCCCTGAGTCTGTGCTCAGTCGTCAACAGGCACTAGGGTTTTCTTGCTTCATTTTGAACTATAAAGCATCTGCTTTTGGCACACTGGGATTAACAATATCTCTTAGAGTGGAGCATTGTGATTCAATTAATTGATAAATGCCTGTGTCCTTCACTAATGCAAAGAATTTTACCTCTTGCAACCCATTCTTTCACTCACCTTCGCAATCTGGGAAATAGATTTATAGATATAAGTAAACCTCTTAAAGCTACATTTTTATAGATAGACCTTTTAAAGCTGCATTTATATAAATAGGTCTTTTAAAGCTACATTTAAACACAGCAGGACCTGAGACTACTGGGTCTGTACAATTAAATGTCCATGAACCATTAAAAAGATGACCTTACATTAAAATTTATTTTTAAATTCTCTGTAGTCACATTCATAGCTTTTCACATTAACATGAATAATTCAGATTCTGTATTGGGGAGAATTCTTTCTCTTGAAATTGCAAAGAAAAAGCATTGCTAGTAATTGTTTGGATGCATTTCATAAAGTCTAATTATGCTAATTTTATTGACCATCATTGTTATAGCAACATTGCATCTGGCTGTGGGAAAGAAGTGTATTTCTCTCTCCATGATAGTAGGAAAGATGCTGAAATCCAGAATTTAGCGGCCTTGACAGAGCAGGATTAATTAACTTCAGAAATTAAAAGTCTTACTAATCAATTGTTTAATTTAAAAATTCATTCACTGCTAATCTAGTGGGTTTTGCACATGCAGTATGATTCCCTGGAAGTTACTAGCCATGGAAATTGGCACTGTGTTCTCCAAGCTGTGCCATGTGAGGATGCTCTGATGAGCCTGACACCCTGTGTGGCCAAAGTAGAAACCCAGCATCTGTGATAGAAAACAAAAAAAAGAAGCAGGAAAACATGATATCTGGGATATGGGGACTCCACTGGCAAAGCTGCCTTCCAGCCCTATCTGCAAGGATTGTCTCTGCACTGCTGCTGCTTCTCTGATGATAGGAAGGAATTTATCCTGCTGCATCTGAAGTGAGGAGGTTCTGCCTGCCCTCCGCCCCCTCCTTGGACCACTGCAAGCTTGCCCTGTGGCTGTCAGCCACTCCGCAGTGTCTTCTTGATAACACAGGTAGCAACCCGCTCATGAATCAACAGAGTACAGCCCTCATGGGGCTCATCTGAGCATTCAGGGTATGAACCACAAACACTATTGGCCAGTCCATCATCCTTTTGGGACCAGTGTTTTGTAGTCTGTGCTCTCTTTGGCACTTAAATTGCTGCTGTCTCTATTGACAGAAGGTTAGTGAAGTGCTCAGGGCAAGGGAAAAGGAGAGAAGTAGTAGCCAAGAGGCTTCATATATTGCTGGAAGAGTTCAGTAGGGTTCAGCAGAGAGGTACCATATAAAAGGCTCAGGTTTGACGCCAAATTGGTTATCTGACCATTGAGCACTGCTTGGATGGATGGTGACTTTTCTCTTTGGAGGGGAGCAAGCCCTTGCACTGCAGCAGAGGCAAGGTCCAAAAACAGAGGTGACAGAAACCTTTAATCCTCTCATTTGCTTGCTTTCAGCTTGGCAGGCCCCTCCATTTCTTTCCCCCTATGCAAAAAAATTAACATCCCTTTTTTTTCTGAACAGTCCAAAAAGGTTTGTTGCAGACCTAAAGCTACTTGACTAGGTGAGAGGTTTAGTGTTTGTTTGTTTGTTTGTCTGTTTGTTTTTGTAATGAAGCAAATCAACTTCATGCTTCTTAAGCTCCAGGAAAGTTTGATCAGCAACCATCTAAAAAAACCTCTTTTCAACAATCCAGCCAATTACTTGAACACTAAAATTAGCTTTGAAGCATAATAGGGTTGTAATTTGTCAGCAATTGCACTTACACAGATATGTTTCAGTAGGCACAGAAGTGTCCTGAGGTCTCTGAAGGATTTCAAAGAGGTCCTTAACCCTTTTGCACTGAGTAGCTTCTGGAGTAGACTGAACATCACTTAAAAGCGATCCTCCTTCAAAGGATGATCATGCAATACTAACTCTCTCAAGGCTGCCAGGTGGATTTATGGCTGTGTGGCACAGCAGGTATTTTGGTTATTTGAGAGTGAAGGAAAATGTAGCTGAATACTTTAGTCATTGAAAGAATTTCTGAGTGACGATCTAGCAATGAGGCAGATTTGAGCAGGTTTGAATGACATCAGGGCTGACGTTTAGACCCTGACTCCATCAGATGGTTGTATATTACTGGGAGTGTAAAACTAGCCTTTTTTTGTAGCTGTGTATTTGATTTTCACAAGCTGCCACAATCTGCTTCCTCCTTACTCGGTTGTCAGAAAGTATCTAAGTTAGTGAAGTGTTTACTGTCAGTTGCGCACAAAAATTTTATGAGATAGATAGAAAACTGGTTGGAGATGAGCTACTTGTCAAACAACAGAAAAAAGGCAGTCTCACTGCATATTCTTCTTGTATCCTGGGAAGTGAACCTGGTGTTAATACTATTTGGCAAAAAAAGACATTGTTTTAGATTTATCAGCAATTCGTAGGAGTGATAATGAAATGAAACCTCAGCATTTTCACCTGTTTCTTTGCTGCTCATGGTAAGAATTGAAAACAGACCAGTGCCCCTCGCTAATATTATGGGATTTCAGAAGAAGGGAAAGTTGGGAAACCAATGCACCAAGTACATTTCTTTGTTCTGCTAAGTTCTTCCTTTGTGGTCCTGGTCAGTTCATGAGTGACACCATCCCTTCAGCTTTCCAATACATGTTGAAAGAGATGGCAATAACATTGGTTGTTCAACCTTCAGGAGACATAAGGAACCGAGGTTGACACCATCATTTGAATTTGATCCTTGTTGTGTTCAGTCCAGGACCTGTCAAGTTCCCTGTTGACAGGAGCAAATCCTTTAGATACCAACAGCACATCTGGGCCAAATCAATGATTTCAGTAGAGAGAGAAAAGGGCTTATGTTCAATTCTGAATTTCAGCCATGGTTTGTACTTGTGTTGATGACCACTGCTTGTACTGCAAATGAGACCAAAGGTCACTTGTCACCCACCATGAGGGTTTCTGGTAGCAAGTAAGAAAATGACAGCTTTTTATAACTCTGTATCTCTATTGTTTTAGGGAAAGTAAAGGGATAAACAGGAATAGACTGTATTTCTGTACTTTGTCAGTGGCAGTTGTTGGAGTTTGATGAGACACTTGTTCAGTACTGATGGCAAAGTCTCATTGCCTTGTACTATAAAGATGCTTCTGGGTGATTATTTTTTATTTTGTGTGTTGTTGTGTGGTTTTGTTTGGTTTGGCTTTTTTTTAGTGGAATCTCATTAAACCACATTTATTACTAAACATTTTATATGCAGATTATTTAGGAAAGGAATAAACAACAATAATCAACAATTAGGAAGATTTGTACTCTGGGACCAAAAGGACTTACTAAAAGATAATTCTATCTAACATACAAAGGCAGAACCCTAATTCTTAAGGACTATGTGCTGTTTCCTCAAACCAAAGATAAACAAAATATACATCCAAGGTTCACTCAGCACAGGAACATGCACTTGTGGACATTTTGTAAATGCATAAGAATAGCGGATAAATGCTGTCCTTACTGAGGCTCACATGTGATTTTGACTAAACTAAAATACGAATTGTCATTAAAGAGGACACAAAGCTGATGCATCAAAGCATCCTAATGCAACATTATTCATACACAGTCGATAAGTGAAATTGCAAGCTTTGTGTTTAATGTGTCTGTCATGAAAATGCTTATTGAACAACAGCAGGTAGGACAGAAAACCAGAGACAATGTAATGAAATGGTAATGTGCCAGTGTAGCAAATCCTCATGTAGTAACCACTGATGAATGGCTGTCACTGTAGTCCAATGCCAATGGAATATGCTTTTATTGTAAATAGTCTGTTCTTGGGAGTTCCATAAAAAAGTGATAGCAAATGTGTGACATTTCATCGTACTCTGTAACGTAAATAGAAGACAAGCAGTTAATCAGTTCTGAAATGAGTCTCAGCATCCAGGACTAAAAACCAAATAATGCTAATGCATAAATAAATCTTTTGGGTCTCTTCAAGGTTCATATCCTCCTTTAGTGAGAAGCATATCTTGTGCATGACAGTGCAGATGAAAATGCAGTTCACAGAAGGATGAACCACTGACCTTTATCTCCTTTTCTCTATTTGCAGGTATAGAAATGAACGTGAATATCAGCAGAGGCTAAAAGAAACCCTTGAGCGTCTTAATAAGGTAAACCTGAGAAAATGGCAAAGGAAAGGTCTCTATAATTTTTTTCCTTCGGCCACATTTACTACAGCAAGCTGCTTTCAAGAAGCAGTGGGAAGATAAAATGTCAGAGCAAGACATTTCTTGTCATTATGCCCTGATGAAAAGTTCTCCGTCCCTTTCATCCCCCTCCCCAGGCCTTGTGCAAGTGTCAGAACCTCGATGTGTGCATAGGCACTGTGTAATCCCTACTTTGCACAGTCCTGCTGATTTTGGTCCTGTAGCATGTGCCACTCACAGCCTCGGCTGTGCTCAGGACTTCATTAATTTTTCAGTGAGACTGAAGACTAGGAGGATCTACTCCTTTTAGAGCATCAGCAACTGGCCCTTGCACTCATTTCAGGACCTGTAGCTGACATAAGTGTCACAAATTCGCCTTTGCTGAAGATCTGGAATATGTTTAGGTGCCTTTAATAACTCTTCTTAATTCTTTTAACATGCTTTCACTTGGAAAATAATCTCTCTGAATGAACACAGGTAGGAAAAGTCCATTTATTAGTCATACTGTGCAGCCAATACACATATCTGAGAGTCCAAAATGTGACTGGAGAAAATGTGTTTGTTGCTAAAAACCTTTTAAAATTCAGCTGCTGTATTAAAATACTTTTAGTACTGATATCATGGCGTGAAAAATTGCTGATTGAGTCCAGGTTTTGAAATCTGGTGTATCTCAAAACTCCTCAGTTCCTTGCAGGATATGATCAGCCCTTCTTCAGACAGATCCTCAGCTTCCCCTTAGGTAAAAGCTGTACTTTCTTGAACTAATACCATGGAAAAGAAATAATAGTAATAACAATAACATCATATAATTAAATATAATAATAATGAGGCTCAGAGAAAAGATAAAAGTTGGCTAACTTCTTTTGGAAGTTTCCCAGGTCTGTGAAACTGAGAAAACCTGATTCATCCTCTCTTGTTGCTAACTGTCATCTGAGTGAAGAAAGTAGTATTATATTTTTTCCCAGTTCTATTTTTCACAGATTACCTTTCATTTTCTGTATTGGAAAACAATTACAAGTGGATTAATAGAGATTATTACTTTATTTCCTCACTACAAATGGCAGGAACTGTTCTGTTTGAGCACTGTCATATCAATGATATGCATGTTTTATATTAAAAAAAGACAAAGTGCATTTTAGCAGTTCTATCTACACTGAGCTCTAGACATCCTGCATTGGTGCTATTTTCCAGTGTACTAGCAGGGCTCTTGGAAACCCGGCAAGCCCTTAAAAAGTACTTTTGGAGTCAAATCCTTTGTAAAGGTTTGGTGTAGCTAGTAGGTCTGTCTTCCCAGTTCCTCTCAGCTATCTGTGGCTAAAGAAAAGTGAATTGATTCAAGTCCCAGGCACAGCTCAAAAAATCTTGAGAGACGGGGGGTTTCTATCCTAGGATTTTCTTGGGCTGCCCCTGTTGCAACAACTCCTTGCACTGGAGCACCAAGTGGTGGTGGTTTTCTGTACAGTGCCCAAGATGTAGCCTGAAATCTGCATGTGCAGGTGTAAAACTATGCTTTATCCAACAGATGGAGAATCAATTCGGAAAAACAGCAAACACTCGTTCTGGAGAGATCCAAGGGATTTCTGTCCCATTATAAATTAAAATGTTGCTTCAGCACATGGATCAGTGTTCTGGAATCAACACCTAAAGCAGAATGGTTTTTCAGAAGTTGAGTGAATAGCAAACACTGCAAAATTCAGAAGAAAACATGTAGCCACTGCACTGTTCTGACATACAGTTTCATCAGTGAAGCTGGGCTCTCTGAAAGTACAGAATAAGAGCAAAAATATTTTTCCCTTTTGAAGTATTTTTCCCATTTGGAAAGTCAAACGTGGCTTTTCTTTATCACATGCAGAAATATTTGCTTATCTGTATCATCTGGGGGCTTTTATTGGCTCCCCCCCAAACCTTCCAGCATGGCCATTGTCCTGCTGATCTTCCCCTCAATAGGAAGGCAGAGGAGTGCAGAAAAGCATCGGGCATTCCTGATGGCTGGCTCCGAATGTGCTGGGCTGGATGTGTCTGAATCAGCCACTGGCTCACAAAGCAGAGCCCACTGGAGAGTTCTCTGCCCGGGAGGCTCAGCAGCACAATGGGACAGCTAACATCCACACATTTTTGGAATAGCTCGTGCTGTGCACGTGCAAAAAAGAAAAATCCCCTGCTACCAGTCATATGCTGCACCCACAGATCTCAGTGGTTTATTTGCAACCCCTGATCCACTCACTAAGATATTTTTACAGCTGGTAATGGCACATAGGTAATTTGAAACACACCTTTAAATTCTTTTTTTTATTATTATTATTTTTTCACTTTAAGTTAAATGCAGAAATCAAGACTTTCTTGAAGCAAATTGCAAACTGGTTGAGGAACTTAAAAGTTTTGTAGAGTTGCAGGGAAGATCCAGCTGACAACTTTTAAGATACTTCCTCAAAAGTGATATTTTACAGTCTTAGCTGATGATAAACCTAACCAAGAATTCATGCATTAAGTAGGAAAATAAAGCTTATTATTCACACTTAACATATTTATAAAATATATTGCCAAGTATCATGGAAATCACTCTGTATTCAAGGATTCGTATTAAATAACATGACAGGAAAAATCTAAATTAGACCTTTAAACAGAAATGGAGATGTCACTGGGTTTAAATACCAGTGCCACTCATCTCTGAGATCATGATTGGTAGTCATACAGCTTGTGCTCTGAATTAATTGGATATTATGAACTTTTGTCCTTGCAAATCCCAGTGTATTAGAAACTTCTACAGCAAGATGATTCTTCTCTAGACCTGGTCATCTGTCATTTTTATTTCCAGAATGGCTCCAAATTTGTGTATTTGTGGCATTTGACAACACACCAAACAGAGTGCAAATACTTTGGACCATCATGGGTTTTTATAAGGATTCATTTACTGGGGATATTAAAAAGGCATCAAGATACCTCAGATCTTGTCATAAATACTAGAGAAATCAATGCCTTAGTCTGCTGATGTCATTTGTTTAAGACTCATGCACCATTCCAAGCTTTTAGCCTCAAACTGGTATTTCATAGTGTCTACTACTTGGCTTCCAGCATTCATAAAAGCGTATGGTAAACATATTTTGACAGTGCCAGTGCCAAACACTATCATTAATCATGATTCTTATTCACCACGTTCTGCACAAACATGTTCACCATGTTTGTGCAGAACGTGGTGAATAAGATGCCTCTTTTTTGCTGTTTTCATGATACTTCTGTATCTCCCAGTAGGTTTCAGTATTCCATACAGGCTGATGGCTTGCATTATGCCTACATGGCTGCTGTGATTTTGGCACTCCAGCCACATGTGCTGACCATGACACGTGTCTCTCTGCATTGCAGGAAGCTGATGAAGCATTGCTGTGCAACCTGGAGCTGCAGATAGAGTCCCAGTTCCTGCAGGATGATATTAATGCCACAAAGGACAGATACAAGAAGGTAACTGGCTGAATTTGCCATCTTCCTTCACTCTTCCTTCTAGAGATAGATGTGAAGCCTTGCCTTTCTCTGGGATCAAATGGTGGCAAATTAAAGCAAATCCTATTTGTGTTTTGGTGGTTACATGTAGAACCTTTTATTTTCAGTGGGCACAACAGCTGGATGGTTGCCAGTATCCAAACAAACTCCCTCAGGGTCCAATGCCCACAGCTGCAGCAATGTCTTGAATTTGTTGACCTGTTATGGTTCAACTCAAAGTGCAGGACAAGCTGTCTTATATTTCACACTAAGAAAGCTGTTGCTTTCATCACTCAATTTTCTGGGTGAGAGCATCCCAGTTAATCAACAGGCATAAGCCTGTGGCTGTATGATTCCAGTGCAGCTTCCTTTTCCTGGGAATGCTGTGAGGCTTGAGATCAGGCCACTGTCCCATCTTTGCTGCTTTTGAAAGAAGACTCACTTTTTCAGACCATGTGCAAAGGTGTTTGTGGTTCTCATTTTGAAAATCTTCTGTGAAATCAGAAATCATGGAATCTTTAAAAAGACTATGAACTGTACAGTCACTTAGCCAAAATGCCAGTAATGTATCCTCAGCATGATGAAACTGTTAGCACTCATGCCCTCAAAATCAGGTCTAAAATCACATTGCAAAATCGAGTCTGAACATGAACTGGATCTTTATATGCTGAAAGAAGTAAATATCTAGAAATAATCCCTAGAAGGGGAGCACCTTACTGTGGCATTTTCTGATGAAAATGGTTTTTACTTCACCATAGAACCTCATGGAAATCCAGACCTACGTCAATGTTTTGCAGCAGATCATCCAGACAACCCCTCGCGTGTCCCCCATAACCACTGGCATATGTGAGGCAAGTATTGCTGTTGGTAAATACTGCTCAAAGTAAGAAAGAGATGAAGTTTACTCCTAAAGTGTCCTAGATCCTTTAATTACCATTCCAAGGTTAAGTGAAAACTGTCACAACTATGCGTAAGTACTGAATATGAGAGAAAAAATTACCTTTAGCTTTGAAAAACTCTATCAATCAGGAAAGAGAGATTGCATTTGGTCAGGTGCACTCCAGCATATGTATTAGCCCCCAAAAAGTGCAGTTCTAAGGCAGTTGATGCAGTTGTGATTCCTCTCTGAGGAGGAGCTGGCAGGATAAATGAATATTTGAAGAGAAAGTAAATCTTGCCCTGAAGGGGCGAGAGGTGGTGAAAACTTGTAAATCAAATACACGTATTAGTTGGAAGAAAGTGTGAAGAGGTGTATTTACAGGGTCTAATTTCAGCGTAAGCTGTACTGTTACAGCCCTGCCATGTGACATCTTTATTCTTAAAGCCGTGCCACAGAAGTTGACTCAAGGTTCAATACCCATCTTTTTATCTGTCTTTTGTCATTTCTGTTTGTCTTTACAGTTTATTTCCAGTAGTGGAATTTCTTTTGGCTCTTTTTTAAAAGAGTGAAACATACTTTCCTGTACACACGTTATTTTCTTCCAACCAGGAAAAAGTGATAGCAGAGAGGAGGATCCCTGTTCTGCAGAGCCAGCTGGAGGAATACAAGAGCATCCTCTGCCAGCTACAGGCGCAGAAATACAAGCTGCAGACAGAGGTACTGCCATCACTCTCTATAAACACAACCATGATGCTCATGAACTGTTCTTTTTAGGGTCACATGGTAAAGTCTGAGTGGCCTTTAACAGGGTCTTGTGAACTCGGTTGACCTGGAGGTGTGTTTTCCTTTCAGATTTCCATATTTTCCTTCAGCTGTTTCATTCTCATTCTCTCAGTGGTCCAAATTGTCAAGTTTAAGATGGCCAGGAAGGGCTGTAGGGTAGCATAGGTACAATGAAGCTGTCTTTGGTTATCAGAGTAGCTGGTGAGAGAATGTTTCTCCAGTGCAACTGGATTCCTGTAGGACAGAGCCAGCAAGAAGTGTGGATGGAAAAGTCCCAAGGGCTCTAGTGACTCTCCTACTTGCTGAACTCTGGCTGGAAATTGGCTCCATAAATCCATGGGGGATCTTCAAAGCTCTGCCCAACCCTTTCTATCACTGCCACATCCAATGATGAGCTTACTGTGAGAGGACTGGACAGATTTGGTAATCAAAACTGAGATAGTTGTTGAGCTACATTTGGCATCCTGCATTTATCCCTGTCACTCTAAGCGCTAAGAAAGGATCTGTAGCTCTCCTGTGCTTGGACCATAATCATCTGCTTTTTGCCAGTTCCTGACTTGCAGAAAATATCTGGCCAAAACTTTGACTAGTTGTCCATCCGGGTGAGAGGAGTGAAATACTGGCATAAAACATCTTTTTTGGTGGGATTTTGGACTCCTTTGGACAGTCATAGCAGCAGCTCCTAACTTCCTGAGCATAACTTCTTTCCTTAGAGTTGATGTGGACAGTGCTACCCCCAGGTCTTTTCCTTGGTCTCTTCCTCATGTCTGATGCTCTGGTGGAAAGGTCACATGTGCTCTGGGATGGGCAAGAATCAATATAGAGATAAGTGAGATAATGAATCAATATAGAAAAAAACAGGAGAAAATCATCCTTCTGGCACCCTTTGGGGAATTAATCGTGCAGCTTTCAAAATCAAATCATCACATCCTGTTTAGAAAGAGTTTATTAACTGATTCATTCTTGTGCCCTGAGATTAAAAGAATGAAATAGCTTTATGAGTGGAGGTCAGTGACAGGGTTGCTTGTGATGGTGAAGGCTGGATCTGATGACTGAGGTGTCATCAAGTTCCTTTGCTTTCCTCTTTCTGGACCTGTGTTGCTGAGTGGTTGTGGACCCCACCTTGTGAGCGCTGAACAGTAAAGGGTCTTTGTCCACTCGTACTCTGCAATAGAACGAAACTAATGCCAAGGGATCTAGCTCCTAAATTTAGGCTCTTAAAAGGATTTTAAAAACCTCTGCCTGAAACATATAGAAATAAATCTGTTATTAAAGAATCCATTAGTCACTTATTGCCCCATTAGCTTTTTGTGAGTACATCTCTTTAAAAGCTCTTTGAAATGGGGGGCAAAAGTGATAAAAGAACTGTAATAAATAGATGAAAATAGCAGAAGAAAGTGAGAGCAGAATTTCAACGTGAAATATCCCATCTGTAACTCGTGCTCCTTGATTTTGGAAGGTGCCTATCGCCACCTCCTGGCTGATGTGCTCGTTGGTTTTATCGCCAAAGTAAAAAAGCTGGGGAACTGAATTAAAAAGGAGAGCTTTTTATTTAAAATAAGACCTTTGGTCTTATTTGCTTGGTCTGCGGACCACAGCGAAGGAAGAACAGGTTTTTCCTTGGAACATCTTCCCTGCTAAGCACTTTTGCTGTCCTGGTAAGACACTGCCTGCTCTGCCGAGGAAGGGCACGGGGAACTGCAGGTCACACAGTGAGGCATCAGCCAGCCTCGTGTGCATGAGGAGGGAGACATCACAAAGCTGTTCTCTAGTCCATGCTGATCTCATCATGCTTATTGTGGAACAGAAACTTTGGGACAGAAAAGGAGGCAACAGGAGGAGTTCTTGGTTTTGAGTCGCTGAACAAATGTAGTGAAATTGCTGCTGTGTTTCAGCAGTGCAGCATCACATTGTAATAAAACATGACTTGCCTTTAATTACCCTTAAAGTATGGGGATGTTGAATGTTTCAAAGCTGCTTCTTTCACCCACCAATTTTATTCATCAGACAACCATGCTGGAGCAAGCAATTAAAAACACCCAGGAGAGTTATGACGACGAAATTCAGCTTTACAATGAGCAGATTGAAAACCTTAGGAAGGGAATAGAGGAGGCTGAGAGGATCTTGGAGAAGTACACGACCGACTGCCGCCAGTTGGTGATCTACCAGCAGTCCCTGGAGAACGAGCTGGAGCGATACAAGCGGATCATCGAGAACGAGGACAGCCGGTAAGGCTGGATTTTTGGACACTCACAAAGGGGCCAGTGATCTCTTTTATCTCTTTTGAAAAGTGTATGTTTAAGGACATTTGATTCACCCAAAGCTATGGCCTTTTCACACCTTTGACTGGTAGATGTCCGGGGACAGAAATCTAAATAGATGCAAAATCTCATCAAGCTTCTTCCAAGGAAATGGTCAGAGACATTTGGAGCTTCTCCTGTCCATTTAGTCTGCTTTCCACATGCTGTCCTGGCATCAGTGCCCAGAGGTCAGGAGCACACAAAAGCAATTTGAGCACCCTCTACCCAGCCCAAGTGTTGGTGACACTTGCTGGATGTTACAGGCACATTGATTCTGGAGAGTGCTGACAGGGCAAATGTCCTGTAAAGCAAAGCACCCTTTCACAGCAAAGCCATTCGTCAGGCAAAAGGTAAAAAGGGGAGAATACGAGAAATTGGCTGGGATTTGGGTTGTGTTTAAACCTATAGAGGAGCTCTGCCTCCCTCTAATGCCAACCATCAGCTGCACATGAGAAAAGGAGCAGCAGAGCCAGAGCCCTGAGCACCCAAACTGCTGCTCCAGGTTGTCCTGAAGATACAGGGGAGGGACACTGACTAATTTCATCCATTTTCAGGGTCTCATTTTGGACACTGAGTTCTGGATAGAAGTATCTCAACAGGGTAATTCTAAGCACCAAAAATCAAAATGGGCATCTCTTGCATATCGACACAGGTGTATATCCTCTGACAGGCCAAAATATCTCAAATTCTGGCAGAGCAGACTGAAAAGGCCAAAGATATAGTAACTGGTTTGCAATAGGTCAGTGTCTTTGTTTTGATTTTTAACTCTTAATACTGCTGACTCCTCAAATGTTTTCCAAGGAAGACTGCTCCATTTTTACCTCACCCTTCTCGACTCAGGCATATGCAAGTTGCTTGGTAAGGGCTACCAAATTTTCTATTTTACCAGTCAGCATGGTAAAAATGAATTTATGGCTAATGTCTGGTAGTCTTGGATTGACTGTTTGCCCATCTAAAATCTTCCCATCTTTTCAAAATGCCATGCTAAATTACAAAGCTGTTGCTATAGGTTATAATTACTGTTGTACTTTACCTTATGAAGCATCCCATTTCTCCTCTGGGTGGCCAGCCTCACTCCTCTGAAGGTGCTATGGCTATGTTGATTTTCTCCTGACAAGAAACAGGCTCCTGTCATTCTTTTTGAATCCTCACCATAGAGAAATACTTCTTTAACCTCTGTACTTCAATTTGCAGGATTTCACTTGCTTTCACTGAAAATTATGGGGAGAGATCTGATCCATGTGTCTTCTCCACAGGTTAAATTCTGCTATAGCAGGAACCCCAGTCACACTCTTCACACAGATCTACAGGCCTGCCCAGCCCCAAGTTTCGAGGGGAAGAGGTAAACCTGTGCTGTCTTCCTGTGTCTGTCACAAGCAGCACCATTGTATATTAAGTTTGTCCATTTGTGTTCCATACAAACCACCAGCCGTGACAGCCTGACTCCGGGCTTGCTAAGTAAATGCAACCATTTCAGCTTATCTCAGCTGGCTTTGGGACAAGCTGTCAAAGGCCAAAACCACAAGCAAAAGTGTTTCTTTGCTAATTTCTGTAATTTACTACTTAGGCCAATCAAGAGAGTAAAGTCAAAAGGCACCTGAAACTATGGAAAGAGCTGCAGGTTTTGTGCTGACTTGTGAACTGTTTGTTTGCACTTTAGTGGTGTGCAAAGAGCACCAAGGCATGTTGAGTGCCACAGGCAGGCAGAGGACCCTTTTCAGGACCTGTTTTCCTTCCATGTTTTATAATGGCTTGTTAAAATTATGATGCTTGTAAACCTGGTGACAAGGAAACGGTCAGGGATTAGATGAGCAAGACTGCTCTTGATTTATAGAAAGGTGCGGTAGGCACTAACGTTTGGTATGACTTAAATCCAAGGCTCACTGGGTTGTTACTAATAACACACTGCCTTGAGAATGGAGACAAAACATCAAATGAGGGGGTTTTTTTGGAGTGCAGCTGCAATTTTTCCAACCACTGTTGCAGTTTTATATGAAATGGATCCACAATGCCTGAGGCCAAATCCTCAGCAGTTGTAGATAACTACCATCCTGCAAAGTGTTGTTTCATACCTGCTAAGGATTTGGCCTGTTTCTAGCAACACCTCTGCTTCTTCCTGCGTGGTAAGCAGGGCATTTCATGTGTTTTACTGTACCTGTGACACGGGACAAAACAGCTGCCTTAGGGAAAGCATGTCTGTCCCCATGTTCCCCTAATTACCAGCTCTGTGCCCACCAGCCGCTGGCTACTCCCTCCTGACATGTCTCTCAGAATCTGCCCATACCCCAAATTGCCATGAGTGGAGGTGTCTGGCTCACTTTTAGTGCCTCTTAGACACAAAGGCTCTCCACCTGCAGCAGTGAGGGTGAGAGGCAGCTCTAGCATTTGCAGCGACCGTCTTTGAGCACTGTTTGTTGTTTGCTTTGTTTTAATTTTTCTCTAGATATCACCCAAGCCATGCAAGACATTGCCAGTGTAAAGCCCAGACAAAAAGCACTGACAAAGAAAATTGCCAGGAAAAAGGAGCTGATGTCAAAAGACAAAACTGACAGTCACTCACCTGAAAGAATGTATGAAAGAACTCTGGAAGGTTTTGACCAAGATCAGATGGAGTACAGACACGAAGGCTCAATCAGGTGTGAACCTGGGCAGGAAGGTTCAGAATTTGATGAAAAAGAAATGGGCCCAGAGGATGTACCTGATGGAGCCCAGATAAGTAAAGCCTTCGATAAATTGTGTAACATTGTGAGGGAGAAAATAAGAGTCCACAAGAAACCAGAGGCTAAGCCTGAAGCCCCTCCCAAAGGGCGTTATGTGCTGGTGACAGGGGAGGAAGGCTATGAAGAACCATGCATCTTGGCCCCCTCTATCCCTGCTCCAGGAGGGATCACAGTTTCCACTGGCAACGGGAAGGTGATGAATGGTGGGGAGGTGGAGCCCATTCCGGAGCTGCCAGAACCTGCCGAACCATCAGAAAAAGAGAAAGCAGATATCTGTGAAAGGAGAGAAGGGTTTGAAATCTCAGATAAACAGAGAGAGGAAGAGAGAGAAGAGGTGCTTGAATGGGGCAAAAAAACAAGAGGAAAAATCGAGCAAATCACAAAGTATCCGGACATCTCTGAGCCTGAGACAGTTCCTTCCCCTGGTCTGATAAGCCCAACCGAGCCAGGACTCCTTCGAGAGACAGAATATGAGCGAGAAGACAAGCAGGGCCTTTTGTTCAGGGAAGCAGCCTTGCCTGGCTCTATGAGCTACGAGAAGGTGGAGGTGGTGGAGTCCATCGAGAAGTTTTCAGATGACAGAATTCAGACATATGAAGAGACAGCGATGATTGTTGAGACAATGATAGAGAAGACAAGCAAGAAGAAACCAGGAGACAAAGGCTCTTAAGTGACACATCCCCTTGATAGTCAACTTGTCTGGCATAGTTATTATAAGACTGCTTGTTTTTTTTTCCTGACCGAATGATACAGTAGTGAGATTTTTGCTGTTTGGTATGGAACAGATTGAAACCTTGATGACAATTCTGTCTGATGTAGGCTCACCTTTGGTGCAACGACCATTAGCATGCTCCAGGGTAAATCCTATGCAACTGATTTTCATGATTAGGACTCACTGAAAGTAACTATTATGACAGAGCTGCCTGGCTTTCCACAGTATCCGGGACAAATTTGCATATTCCTCTACTGCTCCTATAACCACCATACAATTCCCCATCTCTGAGACAGCTGCAAATGTTAACTTGTGACATCTGGTTCATTTAATAAAAGTTTTGCCTTCTACCGAAGATACCCACTGTGGGTTTGTGTTGCCTTTACCATTGGCTGATAGTCCCTACTCATAAATGTCACCTGAGGTGTGCAGGAGTTTTCCAGGGAAAGGGCTGTTAAATAATTGCAATTGCAATAATAATTGCAAATCTCTCCCAGTTACAGTCTCTAAATAGCAATGAGCTTGGCAGACCTTTCTTTTTGGATCTAAAGAAAAACTCTCTGTGTTTGAAATAAGCTCTTACTGGAGATCTCAGAATAAAACTTGAAATTCCACTGAAGTGGGAGATTACCCTTATAAAAGCTACTAAAGGGATTATTTGTCCTTCACCAACTCAACTAAGGTATTTGTGGTTGCCAACGAGCTTTTGAGTGGACTGCAGCCAAAGGCTGGGTGTTTTAATATTTACTTGTAAAGTATTTCCTTGGACTTGTAGAGTTCAATACTGCAAGGGAAACAAACAAAAAAAACCCAACAAAACACCCAAAACAACCAAAAAACCCCACCTCAACTGCAGCAATAGGCAGTTTGTTTAATCTGTCACAAAAGAGGGTGTAAACAGATTCAGGCAGTACTTAGACAGAATTAGGTATTCTTCCCCCTCTCCCAGTCCATCTGATTGCACTGCAATACAGTGGACACAATACTCAGAATACAAAAAAAAAAAACCTCAGTCAATGGCAATGAGGCAACAAGTCAGGAGAGTCTGGGCTATGTGTCCAGTGTGTGAATACCCTCACCACCTTCATCTCTTTTGTGTTCCGGTGTCACCGCTCTTTGCTGATAACACAGACCTGGTTTCTGATGCCTGTAACCCTTGCTCAGCAGCTGTGCAATGTAAGAACTGCTCCTAAACTGGGTTTGATGGCACCTGTTGCTGTAGGAGTCACATACTTGCACCACCTGGCAGCAACCTGAGCTGCAAAACATGAACCAAGATGGTGCTGAGCTGCATCACACACACCATCATCACCAGAGGTCAAGGACCAAGAAGAGCTGAGGGCTAAATTCTGCTACAATCTCTGACCTGCCTTTCACAGACATCGTAGTTGCCCCATAAGGCTGCAGATAATGGGCACCTTTCTGTAGATTTGCATGAAAATTATATGGAAATCCATTAGTAGTTGAGAACTGAACTCTGGTTCAGAATGACCATGCTGAAGGTATAGAATATATATATATATATATATATATGAAATATATATAAAGGTATAGGAAATCTCATGATTTATGGGCTAACCTCTGCATTAAATGCAGATTCTCAATGAAGCATTTAAATGTTAAAGTCTAATGGTGAAATACTTGTGAGCATCTATTCACCAGAGACTGGGATGAAACTCAGATTATTACAGGCACATTCTTGCCTCTGAGGCACCCAGAGCTAGATCAGGAGGTTTCCTGTAATCATCTATTGCTGCAGACACGGTAAGAAATTAAAAAATGAAATGCACCTTCTGCCATGGGAACATATGAGCTGAAAAGTACCCAAAAAGTCTGGGTGGGAGACAGGGAGGAAAACAGGGCTTTTAGTGTGGATCAAAGTGCTCTAAACAGCAGAGGAAGAAAAAAAAGTCAACCTGGTGTAGCATTTCTTTAGGGCTAGAGTTGCTTATGGACTGCAGTGCAAAACTGTCACTGTTTCTATTCCTGAGGATCCTCTTCCCAAACATGTTCAGCATTGCTGCTGCCTCTGCAGAGCTGCCCTTGGAGCTAACAGGTTTGAACCACTAACACCCAAAGCTCTTCCCAGTCTGCAGCCTGAATCTTCTATGTCCTAGATGATCACAGAGTTAACATAAAGCTCCTTAATCTTCACTTGTTGCTATCAACTCTTTTGGAGGATCATCTTTATTTTCTCTGTATTTTTAATCAGTGTAAAAAGCAGAGGAGGAGGAAGTCATCCCACTTAGAGCAGCATTATCTCCCATGTACCTTCAGATAGGCAACGATGATAGGACCTGCCAGTTTACAACAGCTCTTTATTTTACTCATATTATAAAACACCATCACTTTAGTTAAACAGTGTTCACCTATTTCGCATCATGAGCTTTATTTTCTCCTTTATTATAAATACTAACAAATTAACTTTATTTTTCATCAGCAATACCATTAAAACCCAGTCTAACTGGACATATTTTTCAGTGATCCCCTGAAGCAAAAATCCTGAAGAATTTGAAGTAGATCTCTATATTGTACATACACGTAGTTTTTTTATATATACTTATATCAAAACTCACCATTTCTGTATATCTCTCATCATTGTGATCTTTCACTTAATAAAGTATGTCAGCATTATGAAAATATGAACAACCATCTAGTTATTTTGCTGCTTTATAAGATATTTAATAATTGAACAGAGAACTGCAAAATTACATTAATGCAATGGAAAGTCGGGTACATGTTCATTTAAGAATACCACATGGACTTTTCTTATTCCAAAACTTTTTCCACATTTTAGAAGTTCTTAAAAAGCTTCCAGTAACCTCTTTCTTTGATCACATACACACAAAAGGTTGTGATGTGTATATGTGTATTATACATTACATACCATATGTAATTCTATATATTTTTAAGCAAATATATGTAACATACTCTGAATATACATATTGTATGTAATATATATATATATATATATACACACAGAGAGAGAGATGCCACAGGTGTGTCATATGCATTTAGTCATACAGGTGTATGCATAAATATATATATTTATATGGTAAATTCTTCCTTTGGGACGGTTGCACACAATGAGGAACCTGTGAGTAGTGCAAGGCTCCTTGGCTTGCCTTTAGAGTGTAATTCACAGATACTTTTAGTAGGTTGAGCTGTTTATTTTTCATTTTAATTTTTCCTTCTGCATATTAAAAATACATAATAAAATTCTGAAACTAGTCGCTGCTACAAAGTAGATCTTGGGTCCTGCAAAGATCTGAAATGTCTGCTTAAACTTACCCGTTGAGTAGGTCCACTGAGGGCCTTTATTGTGAGTGCCTAAATATTTGCAGAATCAAGGCTCTTTATTATTCAAATACTAAATTTGGGATCTCACACCTGGAAACATGTAGTGGTTGCTACCATGAGTAATTCCCACCAAGGAGGATGTTACATTTTGCAGTAATACTCTGAGGGCGAGGGAGACTGACTTTAACTCCTGTATAAAAAGTCAAAAAAAGGTGGGACTCTTCAAACAGGAAAGAGCAATGACTGACAACAAATCTTCCCAAACAGGCTATATTTTATCTCCCAAGAAGGCAAACTTTGCATTATGCATTAATAACTTATACAGATATATTTAAAGAGAAAAATATGTCTAACATAAAACCAATCAATACTTTTTAAAAATGAAATTTGAATTAAATATTGCATTGGGACTGAAACTGCATGCTTCACATTTCTCCCACAGCAATTTATTGACAGCCACATTGTAAACCCCAGAAAATAGGGGTCTGTGGTTGGTAATGCTGACACAGCCTCATCTTATGCTGCTTGGAGTACATCTCAGTAGAGAGACCACCACATGCACTTCTGCACACAAGTTGCCAGAAGTCCTACAGCTCATCCCTATGTGCTTGTTCTGCTGAAAGATGGTAAATTGATTCAAATTGCCAAAGTTAAAAAAACCAAAAAACCACACCCACCAAAAAAAACAACCAACTAACCAAATGAAGAACCTCCACCAACACTGTAACTTGTGCTTCTAGAACGCCCTCACCCAGTTTGCAAAGCATCTTCCCCCCATCACCTGGCTTAGGCATCACTTCGCCTTCCTTATTGCATGTTGACCCATCCTGTGGCTGAAGTGTTAGCATGTATGTTGTATAAGTGTATTATTAAAGAAAACTCTTAAAATAATTGGATTTCTGCAAGTTGGATTATTTCTTTTTGTAAGGTCTAGTGCTACTTTGGTTGAACCCAATGGGGAAAGTCCCATGGATATCAATGATGCTGAAGGAGCTGTTAGACATTTAAAGACCTATCCAGACAACCTCTTTGTGATTCCCTCTCTCACAGTAATTTTTAAAAATGCGCCCATTATCACCAACTGCAATGTTAAAATTAATTCTTTTTTTTTAAATACAAACAGTGTTTACCACAAAAATAAGAACAGAAAAGCCATCAATTTCTTTGCAGGTTATTACCTATTTGTATGACGCAAAAGAAAAAATCATTTACAGTCACAAACTGTACATAGTATTCGGTGGGAGACAGTACATTTGTGGTTTAGAGTAAAAAACGGATTGCTTCAGTGGCAAATAAAGTAATTATTGATGAGATAGAAGACTTTAAAATCAAGAAAGGGTGATAATTTGGCTACAGAGACGATCATTGTAATATGTCTAACACAGAGGTTTGGATAGTAGAAAGGTGAGTAGAGGGGTCTGGGGAAGGAAAGACACCATCATGCAGAACAGCACTAGTTTTTGCTCAGTATACTCTTCAGGCTTCTCTCCACTGCTTCATCCAATTCTTCTTCTAGCTCTTCCTTCTTGGACATGGCCAGTTTGGACTGATAATCTTTTACTATTTGGTCTATGTACGGTGCGCTCTGAGTCCCATGCAGCATCAGTGTCCACTCCTTCAGCACACCCCTCTGGGGCTGGCTGCCCACAAACCCGATCTCCAGAGCCCAGGTGCCTCGGGGGTCTTCCCCCCAAGTGTGTGTGGTCATGAAAGGCCATTTGTCAAAACCCACCTTGGAGTCGTCATCCCTGGGGCGCCGGCTCAGCAAGATGGACTTTGTTCCCATGGGCGAGGTCATGTTGATGTTGAGGTCTCCCCGCCGGGTAGAATTCACAGTTATAACTGCCTGGACATGCTCAAGGTATCTCACAAAGTTTTCCTTCCCCTCACATGCATCAGTTGTCAATGTGAGAACCAGCTTGCCACTTGGTGGTATCTTTCTATGGGTCAAAAGGACAATTAAGCAAATTAAAAGGACATACACGGCATGAAATGGCTTATGCTAAAATTACTGGCGCCTCAAAGAAAAACCCCACAATACTTTCCTTATTAATACATGGAAAAATAAGGAAATAATAGTTGCAAACTTAGCTAGAAAGGAAACATTGTCTTTAGAAAATGATACCAAAACCTTAATTTGAAAAGAAATACAAAATGTACATCTACACAAAGAGAGAAGCAATACAATTGAGAAGGATATACTGCTCTTTAAGAACTATTAACATATTTAAGGTTAAATAAATGGCTTTACCTAACACTCCTATATTGAGTAATTGCATAATAATGTGTATATTCAGTAGAAGAACCAGGAGCAGTCAGTCATGTCAGACAGTCTCTTAAATGACAGCAGCAAATGGCTGTCTGGTGCTGAAGGAGCCAATGGCACAGAATTTCAGTGCAGTCACATTAAAGCCTACATCCTTGTTCTGCTTTGGAAACCAGCACAAACAGGGGATCCCAGCATCAGCTCATTTGAAAAATACTTTTCCATTAAGACTTCCATCCTAGAATGGCTCCTGTACGAGAGCACATACAGCAGGGAAAGTAGCCACACGTGTTTACTGACTTGACAAAGTGCTGCCTGGCCCAGGACCTGGGGCGGTCAAGTGCCTTCTAAACCCCTTGGGGTCAGGATGCAACTGGCAATTACCCACAACCTCCAGAAACTGGCTGGCAAAATACACAGGAAATGTAAAAATGCTCTGTGTCTTCACCATCAGTGTTCTGTGAGCAGTGTGACGATGTTCTCTGTCTAAAGGAAATAACTGAACGACAAGAATTACTGCAATCATTAAAAGTAGGACTAAGTCACAAAAGACTCTGGTTACCTTGTCATTACCATTGTCTTCCAGTGGCTTCTCCCTGACCTCAGTTCTGCAGTTAAATTGAGAGCCTTTTGGAAGGGCATTGACCACACTGTGGTAACGAACACCTTCTTTTCAAAAGAAATGAGCACCAGCTTTTTCCCTCTGCTAATAAAATACTGCATTCTTTAGAGACTAGTGAAAGCATTTCATTCAAGCCTTGCTTCCAGGAATTCTTTCCTTCTTGAGATGAGCTCCAGGTATTATGGCTTAGTACACTAATTGGCTCAGGCCAGTCTCTGTCCCCCTTTCATAGAGAGCCTTATTGGGAGTACTTGCAGAGTAAAAAAGTCATTCAGATTCAGGTCCTCAAGGCATTTAAACACTTACCTAAAATTGAAAAATCTGTGTTGTTCTGACTATTATGGATGGCCTGGAGCAGAAGCTGGTATAACATAAATATTGTACAGCAAAAATATTTGAGCATCTAATTATAACACCCTTGAGGTATTTACTTTGTGTGTGCCAAAGCACAAGAAAAATGCACTATATGCAGCCAGAGGTGAAGGATCATAATTTCACAGTTGCCATGTGCTTCAAGTTTCTCTGCCTGGGAAGCATCAATCTCAACTCCATCTAAATTCATGTTGTCTCACAGCCTTCTCACACAGTGGACAAAGCTCTGTGAAACACTGCTTCGTTCCCAGAGTTGTTGTGATAAGTTTTATCTCCTCCAGTAAATGAGGAGGGACACCACAGTGTGAGTCTTTTCTACCCATCAACAACAAAACCCAAAAAAAGAAGAGCAGTGTGGTCCCACTCCATCTCTCTGCAATCAGCCTGACAGCTGCAGACAGCTTTTCTCTGCACCTTCTCAAGTGCTGCAGTGCAAAAGTTATACCAGTTCTCTGAAACACAGGAGAAAAAGCTCGCTCTGTTTCCTCCTTTCCTATTAATTAGGATCCAACACTCTCTGCTTCACTAGACTAATTATTGTAGTCCAGGTGAATTTTCCCAAAGAAACAAAAAGAACCAGGGGTGGTGGAAAAAGCCCGACACAAAGGAGCGGAAGAGGAGGTGGATTTTCCACAGCCTCACAGTGTGCCACTGCCCAACTTATAAATATATATATATATAATATATTCACTTTTACATGGTGTAGTACCCAGTTAGAGATGTATAGGGGAGCTAACCTCCTCCCAGAACCACACTCCCATGTGCTCCTGTTCCTCAGCTAATGGACTATGATGTCCTAAATCATCTTTGTGTTTCCCTAAACCAGCCAGATCCCTCATTAGGAAAAGTTCCTATTGCTAACAAGTGTTTCTACTTTACATACTGATTGCTTTCATCACACTGTGTTATTCTAGGCCATCAATTATTTCCTGGCCTTTTGTCTAATTGACATTGCTGCTCTAAAACACCTCTGTATCAACTACTCACCTACATACATCTACATTGAACACGTATTTTGTAAATAAACATATAGAGAGCATATATAGAAAATATTAATCCAGCAAGACCAAACTAAAAAAAACCCCAATTATCCAAGGCAGAGGTGCAGTGTAGTTTTCATTTCGAAGGAATTTCTGGAGATGCTGAGATTTACTAGCTTTTTTCACAGTGAAATCCTAAAAATGTACACGTTGCACTTTGTGATGCTTATTATCTCCTGTCAGTGACATTTTCACTGGGGGACATAAATATTACTGCAGGGCTATTAACATATAGATTTCTCAGGCAAGTAGTGGGAGGGAGGGGGCACCCAGACAGCCCACAGAAAGAAATGTTCTCTCCTCCTCTAGGATGATCCCCATTTCAATAAATGGAGCTGCACTAAGATAAATGAGACTATTTGTCTGCATTTAATTATTAATAAACTAGAGATAGCTCAAAATTAGCTCTCTTTCTTTTTTTTTTTTTTTAACCTGTGAGCATGCATAGGCCAGATAAATTAAAACTCAGACCTCAGCTGCAGAATCTTGGATCATACAAATATAAACCCATCTGGGGACAAACTCACTATTTGCCTGGCTGAGCTATGCGCCAAGGTGGCATACTGGTTTGTTTTCTTTTTCCCAGTAGAATAATGATGCCTTCAAAAATGTCACTGAAAAGTCCAATTTCAAATGGTATAGACATAAACTGGCCATTATTAGGTTTGTATTTCAATTACTTAAACTACAGCTGTTGTAGTCAATTAGTATTAATTCATTCACTTCTTGAATCAGTCACTTTAGCACATGAAGGTAAATCAGAAAATAATCTGACTATCTAGCCTGCAATTAGAGACTTGGAGAGCATAAACTAGGCACAATTAAATACTGTAGTGTTCAAACTGAATCACTGATACCTGTAGATGATTGTTTCAGTCTTCTGGAGATAAAATTGTCTGCTGGGAAATGTCACAATGAGATATGACCTAGCTGACAGATATTTCATGTGGCAGCAGTTTATGTAATTTACAGTGGCAACCTTCCACATTTTCACTTGGGGACAAGCTCTTTATTCACAGAAATTTTAGCACAAACATACCTGTGAGTTCTCAGGAGAAATGGATGTTGCTATTAACACTACTGGCACTAGCAACAAGGATACAGATGTGCTGTAGAATGTACTCCTAAAGCAAACCAGGAACTGAAAGATCATGTAGTTTTATCAACTACTGTTGATAAAAAATGTTTTCTCAATTTATTACTGGTAACATTAGGCTTCCTCAGGCTATGTCTTTGCCAACGTAACTGCATATGTGTGGTCTCCTAAATGCCTGGAAGAAGCCAAACACGTACACCAGACTATTCACTTACTCAGGTTCCTGTATTGACCCCCCGACACAATGGAATCTCTCTGGGACAGTCTTCCAGTCTTTTGCCATCTTGACCATTGCTCCTGCATCCAGGACACCATAACCAAACAAATGGTTGAACTCCAGCCCAACGCCGTTCCTCCGCCACCGATGAACCTCGTCGTGGAGCTGGTTCCTCTTGGAGGTGAGCACTGTCAGATGCTGCATGTCCCTCCATGTCAGATCCAAGCTGTGGAAGAGCAACATGGAAAACATACAGTACAGTATTTCCAAGCAGATATCAGGGAAAGACTGTGTGTTTGAGTAAGCCTCTTTGTAAAATTTGCTTCTATGAGTAACATTGAAATGGTATCTATACACATATCAATAACAAAGCTGCTGTTGATTTCAGTGGGAACAAGAATAGGTTTTAATTGTATAGTACTTCTCCAAAATATGTTTTCCAAAGTTGCAAAGTCATTCCTGATTGTCTCACTTCTTAAAAATAACTGGTTTTAACTATACATTATAGATCCACCATTCAATTTTTAAGCTAATAAAATGAGTAGGATTTTATACCAGATTCTGACAGAAATATAAAAAGATGATGACAAAATTTCACCTAACCTTCCTCTTAAATCTTGCCCTCTTTGTCTTGCTTGCTACTCCTGCTTTTCTCATGGAGCTTCCAAGATTCACCCTGAGGAGACCCAGTCTGATGAAGCTGATAAGCTCTAATGATCCAGGTGCTAGTAGTATCAGGATTCTGTGAATATAGGTATGTAGGCTGTGAGTGGCTGAAGGTTTGCATTATAAGGGATGGCAGAGGTTTGTTACCCATGATATATTAGCATGGATGGATGCAGTCAAGTAACATTTGCCTACAATCAATGGTCATTTTTCATCAGCAGCTCTTGTCTTCCTGGATGTTCAGTGATTATGATGACAGGAAGGGCACTTATAAGTTATTATTCTGGAAGCTTTAGAACTGACATTCTAATTCTACATAACTAAAGCTATTCCAGGTGGTTTATGATGAACTCTTTCAACATCACAATATGTCTGATTCAAACCATCAACCTAAAAGGATCTGCTTTGCAGCTTTCTGTGCCCCAAGTATTAAGCATGTGTGCGTGCTGAATGCACACCAGAATAGCCAATTACTGTCATTTCCCCAAGGAGACACAAGAGAGCTGAAAAGCAGATATCACTTGCATCATTCTTACTGAAATCTTTTAAGAGCTTGCTACATATCTTAAAGCTGTACTTTCTATTTCACAGATTGGTCTGGTTTGAGAGACATGTCAGACATGCGTCATATATGAGCTGACAGACATATTGCAGGCAAGAACAGTCTGCATGGAAGATTGTCAGCCATTCCCAGGAAGGCTAGTGCAGCTCATCCCAGGTAGTTCTGCACTGTACAATTTAATAGAGCCAGACTGGAAGGAGATAGGAGACAATGACAGCTCCTTCTCTCCCCTGCTGCCTTCTCAGCAAACTCTAGTGCCAGCCAAGGGTATTAGTCTAATTCCTATTCATGATAATTTGGCAGAGTAATTCCAGTCTTTAGGGATAACTCATGTGAAAAGGAATAATAATCATTACTGGGATATTTAGGTTCCAGTCCAGTTTAAACATGCAGTGGTCAGAAAATTCATTAAACCTTTATATTTTTATGGCCATATTAATTTATTACATAGTGGCTGTCCCATTGAATGAGTTTGATAATAGGAGGAATGATCATCCAAAGTTAAACACTTGGCATGTGTTTTACATGTATAAAATTGAAAAATGAGATTTGGCCCAAGTCATGCTCTAAGCACAACAATCATTGCTCTGTTAATGGTGTAAACTTGGCATCCTCTGCCAAATCTTCATTATTTTGCTCTGTTGAAGGAAACCACGTACACAGTGCTCACTACATGCCATGGTTACAGCAACTGAAGCTGCAAAACTGAGCAAATGTTGCCTCACTTCATGAAATAATTTAACACAAAGTAAAAGGATAGCATAAGTTATTTTAAGGAACACTTTTCTTAATCAATGGAGAAGATAATTATTCTGAAATATACGAGAGGGCTCCAGTTTTGTGAATAGCATGGAGATGGTAAATTGACAATGGATATTTATTCCTTCACATAATAGAGCAATTAGGTAACACAGAAGCAAATTACCAGCGATGGGTTGAGAAAACAAAGAAAACATTCACCATCACTACTGCCAAAAACTATTGTGGAACTGATTGTCACTTGATGACACAGGTGCCAAATACAGACAACTTGGAAAAGAGTTAGGCAAATTTACAGAAGACCAATCTGCCTGTGGCTATTAAACAAGATAGTCTGACTGCTTTCTCTCCAAACCACCAAAGCTCTTGTTGAAAGATCACTCTTAATCCCTGCTGGTTGTCCCCTCCCTAAGAATCTCTAATTGCAGACAGTACCAGATGAACTCTTGTCTGATACTATAGGCTCGTTCTTATGTTTTGTGGGCTGGGCACTTCACACAGGACATGTGGAGAAATGAAATAATCTCCAAACAGTGCAAGAGAAGACAAGTCCCTGGAAGCAGTGGATGACGAGGACACAGAGAGAGAGTCAGCCAGCCAAAATGCATCTGCCATACAGCTTTGGCAAGACTGTTGCTCCATCTGTAAGTCACCACACACATCACTACTGCAACAGGCAGCTCTTGAGCTGCTCATTCCAGCCCCACGCCACAGCCAGCCAAGTGAAATGATGAACACCATTAAACAAACCACAGGTCCTCTCCTCCCTAGAGCTCCCAAGGAATTTCCCAACAGCGTACTTTGCCTCCAGGGCCAGGGCGAACACTCCGGCTGCTTCGGGGGCAGCTGCAGATGTGCCCGAGTGGCGCAGGGTGCAGTTGCCATACAAATCCGTCGTGGCCTGCAACGACATTAGATGTAATTAATGAAACCAGCTATTCCACATTCCTTGCAGCTATAGACTCAGAAAAATGCAGGAAGCGGTGTTTGTGCCCTTGCTGTTTAGACTAATTGTGTGTTTTGAGCCCACCATCCGTTTTTTTCTTTAGAACAGTGTATCAATTTCAAACCACGGTGAGACATGGTTACAGAGGGTGTGAATGCAAGAGCAAGTCATGAGGTAGTAAACCAATGTTCATTATCACTCATGAATTCATATAGATGGCATTTATTTCTTACAAAACAGATTTTAACCAAAGGCCTTAAATTCCTTTGTGTTGATCAGAAGGATTTGAAACTAGAATTGCTAACAGTATCGAGCTTTCTAACACTTGTGCAACTCCAGAACCAACAGTAGTACCAGGCTGCTGTCTTCTATGCAGATTAGCCACTAGAAGAGACCAGAAGAAAACCTTAGAAATACATTTTATGGCAATAATTAGAAAGGTGACACAGAGCTGATATCAAGGCAGAAACCAATAATTTTCTGTCTGCTACTGCATATGGGCATTTAGGATTGTATAATATGTCTTTGGGGTTTGAGACAGGGCCATGGAAAATGTATAACAGCTTTTGGCAAAAACTAACCTTAAGTTACACCACCTGAATTTTCCACCCTGTGAATTGGTCTATGTCTTGGCTAGTCTGAAGGCGCTGAAGAGCACTGATCACTATGGTGGAAGAGAATCCCAAATACACTGGAACAGAAACTGCCTATCTTCCAGCTGTAGGTATGGCCCTGCAGGGGACTTCATTATGATGCTCAGCACTGCTCAACAGGAGGCTCTGGGTGATCTGAACCCCCATATGTCCTCTGTGAGTGACTAAATGTCTTTCTGGTCCATGCTGATCGTACAGCAGAAGTCTGCCAGTACAAGTAAACATGATCTCAGATGTTAACACTTTCAATTTAGATTTTTACAGAGACCTTTTGTCACACTGTCCTCTGGGAAGAGGAGAATTGAACTTCTAAATCTGGTTTCGAACAAAGGAAAGCACTGACTTTCCTTTGAAGGTCTAAGAGATGGAAGATCACTGCTGTTCTCAGAATTAATCCCACCTCTCTTCAGCTGACAGTTTTGGCACCATCATATAATGCAGATGAGAAAACATGCATCTCAACAAAGAACCATCTGCTGCTCCAAAGCACACAGAGTTGTAATAGGTCACAGGAGTGCACAGAGACAGCAGCAACAGTATTGGGACTCACCACACCAGCCTCTGGATTTCTCTTCCTGCCATTACTAAAGGTGGAGGCCAAGGTTGAAGAGCAGCTTTCATCGTACAGAGCTGTCCTTCCATCATTTATGGCAGAATTGATGGAGATTGTCCACATGCTTGAGGCATAACCATCGCAGTTACAGTCGTCATAGCTGCCCCCATCTCCAGAGGCCCAGACATAGATGCTGCCTTTGCCACCCCGGCCCTGTGAAAGGCAAAAATCGACCCTCTTGAGTGAAACTGCCAAGCTACATTAAACTGCACATGTAATTGTAAAGCTGTGTGTCTGTAAGGGAGAAAACTGGCCCAATCAAAAGATACATCAACCTTAAGCTGAAAATACATGGATTTACGCAGGTTATTAAGTCCAGGTAACTGGACACAGCCAGTTCTGCAGCCTTGTGTACACAGAGTACTTCCATTTATCTCCTGGTTTGCTTCATGCCCTGAAGGCTTCTGTGCCAGGCACTAAGACATTTTATGGATTCATTAGCATTTATGTCAAGATCTAAGTGCTATGAGGAAAGTGTTCCTTTAAAAGGGATATAGGTCATCTCACAGGCTGGGTTTGTAAGATCCAATTAGGTTCAGGCAATGGCTAAAAAGCTCTACTGGCACCTTTTTCTCTCAATAGATTTTCCCCCCCACCCAAAGCTGTTTTTTCTGACAAACCAGCTTCTACTTTTAAGGAGCAAATAAAGTTATGAGACCATATAAATAATCTAAAGATAAATGGTCCAGCAATTACACTGAGATGGACGGGAGAGACTGAAGCTGAAGGGCAGCTCTAAAGGCTTCCCATTAGTTAAAGGAAAGAAATCTGTATCCTCTCCAGAACTTCCAGATAGGCAGCAGGTGGGAAGGGATCAACTCAGCTGCCTCTAATCTCATTCTCAGAAGGAGGTAGGAGCTGTCTGGAAGAGAGTCACACCTGAGAACCCCGACACTTGGGGAAAGATCAGGGCTATTGAACCCAAAGCTCAGATCTCCCACTGATTCCAGCACAGCTATCATTTCTCTCTGTGTTTAGTCCAATATAATCCAACATTTACTTCCAAGAGCACCAGAAGGGTGCAAGGCCTGAATTTAACATGCTGTTTATATGCATTGGGCAGAAGATTAAAAAATTTCTTCTGGCCTCCTGATTGCCCAGCATGGAATGGAAGCTAGAGAATATATAAGCTTAGTAACCTGCAACAGTATTTTAATAGGGAACCTTTTCTCTCAGAATTTTAAATCAAATCTGAGCTCCCAGCAGTAGCTTCTATTTTTCATCGTGCCCCACTGAACAGAGCAACCTCATTATTTCAAGCACGTTAGTGAGCTGCATTATAATCCGCTGAATTGCACAGCAGGTTTGCTGCCACTGGGGTATATAACATCTCAGGACATAGATTTTCATAATAAAGATAATGACTACGAAAAAGCTCACTGAAATCCATCTAAGAACTCCCACAAAGACCTGAGATCAGTCATTTGAGCTTCAAGGGAGGATGATACTGTTGCAAAAATATATCTTTTAGGAACAAAATCCTTCCAGCAATTTATTAAAAAAGAAAAAAAATCAGCATAATAAGACCAGTTATGCCTTGTTTTTCCCTTTGACTTTTTCCATATCCCACCTTGTGCTCTTACTGGCATTAACCTACAGGGCCCAAACCCAGCCTTTGAACTGTCTTCAGAGGCTACACCCCAAGCTTGCCACCACCATGCCCATGTACACCACCACACCACTTTGCCATCATCTGCCTGCTTTGGACAGCCTCTGTCCCAAAAAACCAAGCAGCAGTCCAGTGCAGAAGGCAGGTAGCTGCTGGTGGCAGGAGTAAGAATTTGGTACGTATAGATCCATTCTTAAACAACCTTTTCCTTCCAGTGCTTTTCTATGGAGCAAACCACTTCAGTTTCATGTGAGAAATTCATCCAAGTTGCTAACAAAAAGTTAACCTCTGCAGCGTCCAGCACAGAGAAACAGACTTAGCTCTGCTCAGCAGGATTGTTCTGTGCTGCCAAGTATTTTACCCCATGGATGGGACTTGTGGTAAAATGGCAGCAAAAGGGTGTAGCAGATTGCCAGTGTGGAACAGGGAGAAGTCACAGAGGAACTGAAACTCTGGGGCAGGTTTTATGCACAAAATTACTGTAACTTGAGAATGGCCTCAAGACATCACTTTCATGAGAGACACATCCACAAGTGCAGCTTAGTGTTAAACCCCATAATACACTTCTTAATACTCTAATTTCAATCGCCTTTCCTTCCTAGCCAGGACTGGAAAGTGGAGCAAACACTACTAGAATAAACTGTTAGCAGCCCAAGTGCCTTATTTGCAATGATGCTGCTTATATGTATCACAACCAGACCTGCAGTAGTGAGACAGTTTGCACAGTGTCCTCAGGTAGAAATATATGGCTTCAGGGGAAGTGAATTTTCAGTTCTCTGGATGGTAGTAGTCTAAACTGATCTAGTCCTGATCTAGAGGGTGGCATCCCTGCTCCCAGACAGGGCAAGGGGTTGGAACTAGATGGCCTTCATGGTCCCTTCCAACCCAAATCATTCTATGCTAAATAAATGAAACCCATTTGGGTCAACTGTCATATTTAAAGCAAACTGAAAGCTTCTATTTGCATCTCAACCTTATGTGAACCTAAAAAACTTCAGACGTGTCACTCAGGCTGCTGTACCAAAAATAGGACTGGAGAAGGCAGTAGTAACATAGACTATAAACACCAGGGGGATCCTGAAGTAACAGTCATGAAGGAGAGAGAACACCAACAAGAGAGTAAGGTACATTTTAGAGTATCTTTCCTTCAGAATCCTGTGGAAATCTGCTCATTTCCCTCCAAAGTGATGCACAGCCTGGTACTCGCTGTTCTGAGACACCTGAAGGTGTATCTCACTCAGAGCTGAAAATGAATCTCGGTGCATTTAGCCCCAGAGAGGCCCACCTCTCAATTCAGGCTAAACCAGAATTAAATCTTGGGCAAGGTTGCATGCTCAGTAACTCATAGACAGCTCCTGAGAAGCTCTCTTCGAGAAAACAGCAGGTTTTCTATTTCCAGTGTCCCTTGTGGGTTGTTGCGCTACCAGCAAAAAATATCCCTGAGACATTTTCTTACCCCTTTTCTTATCTTCCGCAAGTGCATAATCCCAGAAAGACTGCTTTACTGAACTACCTTGCAAAAGTGAGCTGGCAGGGGACTACAGTCTATTTCACTTTATGTAACTTGAGGCATATCTTGAACTATTTTTTTCCCCTTATTACTGGTGTTCATTCATCATGCTTGCTGGGCTAGTGCCTCAGGCAGTGTTTCCCAAAGTTTTAACTGCTGGATCACACTTTCCAGAGAAAAATGGGTGGTATTTGACAAATAAATCTCCTCCAGCTTCCCTGAACTTTCCCAACAAGGCTGGCAAGCTCCCACGTGAATAACAGCCAGGCCTCTAACATGACATGGCCTCTGCAATGGCTCCTACAGCATGTTTCTTATGCCCTTTGGCTTTGGCCTAATCCTTCAATCACAGATCATGATTAACAGTTTTCAACCAATAAAACAAAGAACAGACTCCTGCCCTGAAAAGCCAGAAAAGACAGAATCAGGACACCAGCAGGCAGGTGGGAGCAGGATAAGAAGGAAAAAAAGCAGCACCTGACTGTGAGGAAGTATTTTTTTAGGTGCAGTGACATTTCAGGATGAGGATGTTCAAATGGTTTGCTGATGTTTATGGACTACTTCTATAGAAGCAAATGCAGATGGAGCACATTTGAAAAAAACATGAAAAATTAAAAAACTGAAAACTGCTTTCTGTGACAAATTCAAAGCACATATTATTTTATAAGCATCTTTGTTTTTGTATGACATACGATAGCTATTTTGTGATTCTTCCTCCTAAAAAAACAGTAGTGTTTCAGCACCTTCTATATAATTTAATAGCAATTTATTACCATTTTGCCTGCTTTGGTAAGAGATAGGCTGGTTTTCTAGGAAAAGCAAGAAATTCTACAGCTTCTTCATATATTTGTCATAAGTCCTACTGACTTAGGAATAGGACTCAGTTAGTTTCCATCCCCTGTTAATTTTGACTGTATTTTCCTCTGAAAAGAGCATTCCTTTCGAAAATCCTTACATGTTTTGCAATTAAAAACTGCATCCTTTAGAATAGATTGCTCATTATTGCAGAAAGTGTAGTTTGCAGCCCAGGCAGGCAACACAAATTGCCATCCTGTCCCCAGGCTGGGACACACCAAGACAAGGACAGACTGGAAGAGCTGTGGGACCATTTTCCCGCTGTCATGACCTGATGGGGAGCATTGTATGGGGGTCCCAAGAGTTTCAGGAGACTACACAGAGATCTTGCTCTGCCTTGGTCTCCCCACACCTCGTGTGCACCATCAGTCTGACTACTGGAGCCAGCTGGAGTCAGCGAGTCCTTGGCACCCCTGAACTGCTGCTCATTTTTTACACTCGCAGTTTTTTCTGGAGCCTGCATGTTCCTGCATCTCTGACATGAGCCCTCACTCTCCTGGCTCCTCCAGCTGCCAGGCTGATTTGCCCAGAGCAATTTGGTAGCCTGTGACTTCCTGGATCCCTTTGCTGCTTTCCTATACTGATTTCTTGGGCACTGTCAAAACCTAAAGCAAAATCTGCCTGAGACCAGCCAAGCAATCTCAATTTCACCTCTGTCTACCAGAGTTTTAAGCAGGAAACATATCTGGATAGCCAAAGTTTGCCACCACGCAGGTCCAGGGGGACAGCTGAGCTGAATGCCTTAGCACTTCTTCCATATCCAACCCCTTCTGAAACCTGGAGCTGCTGAACTGTGTCCCCAGAAAAGCCCAGGATGCCTGGTCTGCCTAGCACAGCCACAAGTCATAGAGTTCAGCTCAGAAGAAATAGCAGCTGGGTTATCCTCCTCAAATTCACCACTGCTGAAGGCTGTGTCCCTTCTGGGCTGTCCTGTCTAACCTTCTGGCATTCAGTGGAGGAGGAGAGGTTGTTTTGGCAGGAGCAAGAACTCAGCTCAACACTTGGCTGCTATGCAGAGGATAACTGTCACTTAAAACCATGTTTCAGTCATGCTTCTCCTGTTTTTGTCCCTTTCACATTTTGCTGTCTTCAATAACTGGTTGCAGTTCCTCCTAACAGATTTCTGAAACTAGCTGGGTCAAGTAATAATCACCCAAGTCCAAATGACTGCTGCAAATG